GGGGGCGAATTTCCTGGAACACCGGAATTGTTGGATCGTACCTGAATCGCACAAATTAGTTCAGTTAACAAACCACAGGGACTGTATTTCGTTTTTCTAATTTTCGTTTATTCAAACAATATTTTACAATCAATCGAACTAACCAATTCTATTTACATTTCCCTACCCTTACAGTAGGACACTTTTAATTAAACACTCTAAAACACTCTTAATTAAAACACTAACTTTAACACACTCTAATATTCAAAATATAACTATACAACAATATGTTTGCACTCATATTTATAATCCAAAAACTAGGAACAAATTATTTTAGTTCACACATTATGTTTTACAACAGAAAGTTCTTTCCCTTAGTCAAGTTTAAGGTTTGTCATATTTTTCATCCTATTTGCAGTTCTGAAACGTGCTGTATCATATGTTTACGCACAATTTATGTTTATATTACGTACTCACGTTTTGCGGATTATTATCGCGTCTTACTCTTAACAGGAATTCCAAATCTTTCGCTCTAGTGTAAACGGGGTCTTAGAGGTGTCTGTAATAAGATGTTCGACTGCATAATCTTTTTTGTTGTAACTTCAGGTGGAAAGAACTCTGCCATCAAAATGAGGAATTTGATCAACATTGGCTTGAGCCAGAAAAAGAATTTGATTTATTCACAATTAGTCAAGAATTCCCAATTGATTCAGTGTTGTTATTAAATTATGGCATGACGTTGATATCTGGCTCAAGAGATAGAAGTATATGTATCAAAGATATACAAAATATTGAGGATGTTGATAACCTTTCTGCGTTACCATGTACTTTTATTAACGCACATCAAGTAAGTACACCTTATAGTATTCAAGTAAAACCTACGGTAATGCACATAAGTTATTAAGTTTCCATGGAAAAACTTAAGCAAGGGAGCACGCCAGAAATAACTTCGCTTTTTGATTGCGATAATTTATTTACGTCGCCATAATTTTGGCGCGTGTTCGGAAAGCCATCGCAATTTATTTTTGTTACAACTTGCAACGCAATTTCTGACATAGAGGGATGTTATCCAAAAAGTAGTCGTGGGAAAATTCTGAGCATAGGCCGCGGTTTATTCTGTCAGCATTTTTCCATCATATTTCTTCATTTTTTATCACTAATTAGGAGTGTGTTATGTAAGGAAAGTGTCGGATGGGAGCATGCGGGCCATGCTCAAATTTCGTTCAAACTACTTTTTAGGTAACATCGCTCTACGTCAGAAGTAGTCAGACAATAGAGGATCAAAAATGAATGAAACCTCACCATATCGGGGGACAGTTCCATTTTGCCTTCACTTGTGCCTTTAAGGCTGGTAAGTACATTTCTGTATGTTGACATCGTTCAACTGTCTTGTAGGCTCCTGCCAACACGTTTTTCTTCCATTTTCCTATTAAACTACTATATAACGTGAAATTTCAGGTTCATTTATGGAAAAAATAACTTGCAGCATTAAAAAGCTTACAAAAACTACATATAGCACATTTAAACGGTTATCTTGATTTTTCAAGTTTTTCTTGAGTTATTTGAAAACGTGTTTTCAGACTAGTGTCCAGGGTTTTTCCGCGTTTTCACATTTTGGAACAGCAATAACTCGAACACCGCTTGAAAAATCAATGTCTTATAATTTATATGTAGGTTTTTGTAAACTTTCTAATGATGCAAGTTATTTTTTGTATAAATCACAGTTAATAGACGTCTATTAACTTGTATAAATGAACATAAAATTTCACATTTTTAATAATATAGGAGTTAATAGGAAAATCGAAGAAAATCGTGTCGGCAGGAGCCCACAAGACATTTGAACGCTGCCAACATACAGAAATGTACTTACCAGTCTTAAAGGCACGAGATGAAGGCAAATAGAATTGTCCCCTGATTGGGTGAGTTTTTCCCCTCTTATCTGCCTGATAAAAATTACGTTGCACGTTGCAGCAAAAATTGCCTCGTGTAACCATGTCCTTAAATTGAGACATTTATCTATCTTCCAATACAGCAAACCCTTACTTAGATAATATGTAAAATACCTTTATATATATAGGGTGTATAAAAAAGTAATCGAACTTCAGCGCGCTATTGTATCTGAATTACTCTGCGTATGAACGAGATTTTTTCACATTCGGAAAGATCATGCTTTTAGCTGTTGAATGATATCTTCTTCATGCCAAATGGATAAAAAATGAGCAAATACGAATCCGATAAAAAATGTTAGTCAGAATCGCATATTTTCACCGTTGAGAGTTGGGTCTAAAACCATTGAAAATGAACCCCCTTTGGTACTTAAGTTGATGAATTTCACTTCAATAAACGACGCACATATTCATAATTATTATTAAGTAGGAATAAATCTTAGCTAAGCTACGACACGTTCGTGATTAATTGCTTTTTCTTTTGTTATGCATTGTTTTAATTAGGCACAGAGGTGAAAATATGCGATTTTGACTAACATTTTTGATCGGCCTCGTACATGCTTATTTTTTCTCCACTTGGCATGAAAAGCATGTCATTCAATAGCTAAAAGCCTGATCTTTTCGAATATGAAAACTAATTGTTCATACGCCGAGTGATTCACGTATAATAGCGCGCTGAAGTTCGATTACCTTTTTTTTTATACATGATTCCTATACGGATGAAACAGACTGTTGTGGTTTTTTGAGGTAAAACGAAAAACTATATTACGCTCTATCTATATGGTATTGAGCACTGTTTGTGTTTCGTAAACCAAAATCTTAATGTATAAAAAAAAAGGTAATCGAACTTCAGCGCGCTATTATACGTGAATTACTCGGCGTATGAACAATTAGTTTTCATATTCGGAAAGATCAGGCTTTTAGCTATTGAATGACATGCTTTTCATGCCAAGTGGAGAAAAAATAAGCATGTAGGAGGCCGATTAAAAATGTTAGTCAAAATCGCATATTTTCACATCTGTGCCTAATTAAAACAATGCATAACATATGTGATACATATATATGTGACTAATTTCATACACCCTGTATTACACATGCAGGGCTACAGTGCTATACAGTGCACTGATGTTCTATATTCGACATGGACTGAATTCAAGCATAGATTCATGCAAGCAAGTGTAATGCCAAAAGGGGACCCCACTATGAGTTATGATTGAAATAATATTGTATTTCGTTTTAAAAACCTACTTGAATCCCTTGATAATCGATTATGTCCTCAGGTGAATAAGATGCTTGTGATGTTACTCTGAATGTATATCCACACCGGGCAGGCTTGAAAAATATGCCTGGCCACGGTGGGAATCGAACCTACGACCTTTGGAATACTAGCCCAATGCTCTGCCAACTGAGCTACGCGGTCAGGTCGGTTCCAGTGTGCGATATTTCGGAACTGAGTCTAGTTCCTTCGTTCCGAAATATCACATACTCGAACCGACCTGACCGCGTACGTCAGTTGGCAGAGCATTGGGCTAGTATTCCAAAGGTCGTAGGTTCGATTCCCACCGTGGCCAGGCATATTTTTCAAGCCTGCCCGGTGTGGATATACACTCAGAGTAACATCACAAGCATCTTATTCACCTGAGTACACTACACCAACACAGCAAGTATGATTATTAGATTACACTGATATCGAAGGAACTAGACTCAGTTCCGAAATATCGCATACTCGAACCGACTTGACCGCGTAGTTCAGTTGGCAGAGCATTGGACTAGTATTCCAAAGGTCGTAGGTTCGATTCCCACCGTGGCCAGGCATATTTTTCAAGCCTGCCCAGTGTGGATATACACTCAGAGTAACATCACAAGCACCTTAGTCACCTGAGTACACTACACCAACACAGCAAGTATGATTATTAGATTACACTGATATCGAAGGAACTAGACTCAGTTCCGAAATATTGCATACTCGAACCGATCATAACTCATAGTGGGGCCCCCTGTGGTAATACTGAAAAAGAAATATAGTCAAGATCCTATAATGTAGGCGATATTGAACGATTACTAATTTCGTTACCTGTACAAACTTTTCCGTCTCCATAAAAGGTTTGATTACAAATACACACAAACGAACCTATTGTTTCAATACATTCGGCATTTGGTGAACATGGCTCTGATTCACATTCTCTGATATCTAATAAAAATAAGAGAAATTAAAAATATGTTATGTTCGGTATTAATAAGTAACACACTCACTAGCTATAACAGTAGTCTGATGAATTGAACAATGCACGAAGGTAAATAAGTCATCAGCTTAATTCACTTTATTTATACTGTAATTATTTTTTGTTTTTTACTGAAAAATTTTAAAAAGTGCAGGAATATATAATGAATCTAAAGAGTGCTCAGTACCAGTATTATACAGGTTTATAGTTATTTTGTTTACTTTAAAACAAAATAAATAAAGTAGCCTGACCAAGTAGCCTCTACCATTTTAGTCGTATTTTTATCTCTATTTTTGCTCGTGGAGTCTTTTAAACCTTGTCGAAGGTTAGTTAAAGGTGCCTCCTGTCTAATGTGTGCACTTAAACTGGATATCAAGCAGTTTCCAACAAGAAATACGCCTGGTCTACCGAGACATTCTCCTTCCTCTACTAAAGCCAGCCTGCCACCATCTTGTAAATTGAAAGTTAGTTTACATTTGCTGAAATTATCTATGGTCGCTTCCTCGTTAGTTCTTTTATCTGGCGATGTGAGTTTAAATCCTGGTCCTTATGCAGATGATCTGCCAAAAGCTCGTGGCTTCAAAGTGGCTCACCTGAATGTACGAAGCTTGGTAAACAAACTGGATGACATTAGTCATCTCGTAAGAAGTAAATCGTTCGATATTTTCTCAGTTTCTGAGACTTGGCTCAATCCCACTATATTGGATACTGAAATTGACATTCCTGGCTATACGTTAGTAAGACATGACCGCAATGGCAAACGAGGTGGTGGAACAGCGATTTTTGTTCGAGATGGTATTCCCTATAGACACCTAACGGACTTGTTTGACGGGGTAAACGAAGCTTGCTGGATTGAAATAAACCGTGCTAAATGTAAAAAGTTAATCGTTTGT